AGTCCGCGCAATATAGCCTATGAGTGTTATGAGTCAGTTTATGGATTCTCCCTGTGATAGTCATCGGGATGCAGTTGTCCGCATTCTTCAATATATAAAATCATCTCCAGGCAAAGGATTAATGTTTGAGGATGGAGACCATGAGCGGATTGTTGGATACTCAAATGCTGATTAGGCGGATCACCTTCTGATAGACATTTTACGTCTGGACATTGTGTTTTAGTAGGAGGTAATTTGGTATCTTGGAAGAGCAAGAAACAGAATGTGGTTGCTCAGTCTAGTGCAGAAGCAGAATATCGAGCAATGGCTATGGCAACATGTGAACTAGTTTGGATCAACAGTTGCTCAAGGAGTTGAAATTTGGCGAGATCAGCCAGATAGAAATCAAGTTGCCTTTCATATTGCATCAAATCTGGCATTCCATGAGAGAACTAAACACATTGAGATTGACTGTCACTTCGTCAGACAAAATACTCTCAGATATTGCTACAAAGTTTGTAAAGTCACATGATCAGCTTGCAGATATTTTCACCAAGGCCCTCACAAGTTTTCGTATTAGTTACATATGTAACAAGTTCAGTACATATGATTTGTATGCACCGCTTAAGGAGGAGTGTTAGATAGTTATGTAAATAACCCTGGTCTCACATAGAATAGGAGAAGAATGTGTATTGTGTAGAGTTATAAATAGGGCTATTGTAAAACACAAAAGTAGAATATCAATAATATCGTTTTTACCGTACTTTCTCACACCTGCAATTACCTAAGTGACCTAATTTGCAAATAACAACTAAGATAAATCAGTGGTCGCCGACACTTCTAATGTGTCATTCTACCAAAACAATGTTACAAAGACTAAAAATACGCAATTTCTCAACAGCAATAAAAGATGAAAATTAGAGCTAAAATGAGTAAAATTTATGCCCAAAAAAACACACTACTAATATATGTACATGTGGTCTTACAGCACTTCTATCGTATAATTATACCAAGCCAACAATTTAAATTATATACACCGCAATGAATTTTTCAAACTAACAATGAAATTGAACTTGTTATAGCAGATTACTAATCATTTATTCTAAGTTACAATAAATGCTATTAAATAGAGTTACCTAGGTGACCTATTTGTGTAAATAACAACTGAAATATATCCATGGTCTGTTACACTTCTAACGTGTCATTCTACCAAGTCAAATTGCAAAGCCTAAAAACTTTATCAAAATAGAAACAAAACAAAGAAACAAAAGCTTGAGCTAAAATGAGTAAAATTTATGCCAAAAGAAATACACACCAATATATATCCATGGTCTACAACACTTATAGCGTGTAATTCTACCACGTCAATATTGCAAAGCCTAAAGCCAATAAGTTTCTCAAACCAGAGAATTTAACAAATTTGAGCTTAAATGAGTAAAAACTACACTTCTACATATAATTCTACCAAGCCAATGTTGCAAAGCCTGCAACGAAATCTCAAGCTAAAATGAGTACAATTTGTGCCAAAAGAGAGCACAACTAAGATATATATGTGGTCTTACTATACTCCTAGCGCGTAATTCTACCGCCAATTACCTGACTGACCTAATTGTGCAAATAACAACTAAGATATATCAGTGGTTCGCTACACTTCTAGTGTGTCATTCTACCAAGTCAATGTTGCAAAAACTGAAAACAAATCATTTCTCAAAATAGTCAAGAAAAAAAAGACGAAATTTAGAGCTAAAATGAGTAAAATTTACGCCCAAAAAAATACACAACTAATATATATTGGCAAAATACATAATTTACCCCCTAAACTATGGACCAAATCCATGTTACACATCTTCTTGGAACGAAAATTAACTTGCACACTCAACCTTTTCATAGAGTGTCTAATACATACCGGTTTGGTCTTTGACCACTTTTTCTCAACAAGTGTATGCTACATGCTAATAAGATTTTGACACGTGTCATTACTTAAAAAGACTAGAAAAGATACTTCATCTTCCCAAACCAATTGCCGGAAAATCCTTTCAAAGCCAGCAACCACCATTTTCAACGGTCGCCCAAAAACAACAAATTCACTTCATTTTGCGACTTCACTATATCAACAACTCCATCGTGATACCATTCAATTGCTCTCATTTTCCTCCATAACCACCAAGCTTCACTAACTCCCATGTGACACCACCATGGCTTCCACCTCCCCAATCACCGTTTTCAACAGTCAACCCACCATTAAAACCATCTCCATAACCCAATAATCCTTTTCACCAGCAAAAAGTTATATGAAATCATCAAGAATTACAAGAAGATTGAAACATCAAGAGAACCCAGAAGTTGAAAGTGACTAAAGATTGTTGTTCACAGAAACTCTCTTCAACAAATTAAGATTTTTCCATTTGGGTTAAGAAAAGATATACTAGTAATTTTGGGAAAATTTGGATCCCAAATAAAATCCGCAGAACAAGCATCCCGGAAGCTCTATTAAGACCATATCTTAGGCGTTAGTGGAGGACGGCTCAACCCATCAGCAGGATTGAGGTCAATTGAACAAGCATTAGCAACCATGAGAAGTGAAACAGAAGTACAAAAGTGTAAAAACAAAAAAAAAATGAGAGATTTAATGATGTTATTTATGGGTGTTAGTTTTGGGACCTTGTGGGGAGGGGAGGGTCGAATTGGAGGGAAGGGGGGATTAGGGACCTAATAATTAAAAAAAGGAAAAAAAAATTGACATGTGGCATTCAGATAAGAATTTGGATAGACTTTGCAGGTTAACGTGCTTAGTAGCACGCGCATGCTACATTACTGAAATGGTGTATATTAAGCACACTCTGAAAAGCTTGAGCGTGTAAAGTGATTTTTCTCTGCAAAAAGTGTGTAATTGGGATTTGGTCTAAGTTCAGGGGGTAACTTACGTATTTCGATTTTCGCCAATATATATTTGTGGTCTTACAGCAATTCTACCGTGTAACTATACCAAGCAAACGATTTAAATTATATACACCATAATGAATTCTTTAAACTAACAATGAAACTGAAATATTATTAATCATTTATTATAAGTTACCAATCAATGCTATTAAATAGAGTTGCCTGCAATTACCTAGGTGACCAATTTGTGTAAATAACAACTAAGGTACATTTGTGGTCGTTGCGTGCAATTACCTAGGTGACCTATTTGTGTAAATAGCAACTAAAGTATATTTGTGGTCTGTTACACTTCTAACGTGCCATTCCACCAAGCCAATGTTGCAAAGCCTAAAAAACTTTCTCACAATCGAAAGGAAAAAAGGGATAAAATCCCGAGCTAAAATGAGTAAAATTTATGCCAAAAGAAATACACACCAATATATATCCATGGTCTACAACACTTATAGCGTGTAATTCTACCACGTCAATATTGCAAAGCCTAAAGCTAATAAGTTACTCGAACCAAAAAAATTAACAAATTTCAGCTTAAAGGAGTAAAATGCTACAGACTTCTACGTACAATTCTACCAAATCAATGTTGCAAAGCCTGCAACAAAATCTCGAACTAAAATGAGTACAATTTGTGCCAAAAGAATTCACAACTAAGATATATATGTGGTCTTACTACACTCCTAGAGTGTAATTCTACCTGGAATTACCTAAGTGGCCTAATTGTGCAAATAACAACTAAGATATATCAGTGGTCCGCAACACTTCTAACATGTTATTCTACCAAGTCAATGTTGCAAAGCCTAAAATAAGCATATTCTCAAAATAGAAAAAAAATGAAATCTCGAGCTAAAATGAGTAAAATTTATGCAAAAATAAATACACACCAATATATATCCAACATCTACAAAACTTATAGCGTGTAATTCTACCATGTCAAAATTGCAAAGCCTAAAGATAATAAGTTCCCAAAACCAGAAAAATCTTTTGGGATCTTTGTGCTGATGGGTCTTTTACTATTAAATCGGTATATGCACTTTACCTCTTCCTTATTAAAAGTATCAGTAATATTCTTATTCATCATAACGACAATTGGGTATGGACTATCATAGTCTTAAGTAAGATTAAGCATTTTCTTTGGCTTCTTTATGCTTCCTACCGGAAAAATTCTCTTTGCTAAAAATATTGTATCAATTAGTGATTGCATTTTTGGTTATGCTCCTGTTGAGACACTTCAACATCTCTTTCTTGAACATCCAATGCAACATGCATGTCTGTTGTTCATATCTGGATAATTTTGAACATTTCTCTNCACACCAATATATATCCAACATCTACAAAACTTATAGCGTGTAATTCTACCATGTCAAAATTGCAAAGCCTAAAGATAATAAGTTCCCAAAACCAGAAAAATGAAAAATTTGAGCTTAAATGAGTAAAACGCTACATATACATATAATTTTGCCAAATCAATGTTGCAAAGCCTGCAACGAAATATCGAGCTAAAATGAGTACAATTTGTGCCAAAAGAATTCACAACTAAGATATATATGTGGTCTTATTAAACTCCTAGCGTGTAATTCTACCTGGAATTACCTAAGTGACCTAATTGTGCAAACACGAACTAAGATATATCAGTGGTCTGCGACACTTGTAACGTGTCACTCTACCAAGTCAATGTTGCAACGCCTAAAAATAAGCAATTTCTCAAAGTAGAAAAAAAATGAAATCTCAAGCTAAAATGAGTAAAATTTATGCCAAAGGAAATACATACTAATATATACTTGTGGCCTACAACACCTCGATCGTGTAATTCTACCAAGTCAATGTTGCAAAGCCGAAAACTAATAAGTTTCTGAAACCAAAATGAATGAACAAATTTGAGCTAAAATCAGTAAAAGGCGACACTTCTACGTATAATCCTACCAAGTCAATGTTGCAATGCCTAAAGACAAGCATTTACAAACCAGGAAAAAAAAGGACAAAAATCTCGGGCTACAAATGAGTAAAATTCGCCAAAAATTAATAAATTTCTCAAACCAAAAAAATGAACAAATTTCACTAAAATGCCTAAAATTAATGCAAATACTTACAAATAAGAAACGTCGGTATGGTGAAGCAGATCAGCAATTTTGACAGCGTGACTGATTACGTCACTCCGATTCAACGATCTCGATTCGCTTTCGTCGAACAACCGAAGGTCCTGATCGAGTGCACCGCAGAACACTGGAAGCGACGGTAATGGCAACGACGGCGCAGTTTCGGAGTGCACCGTATTCGATAAGCTTATGCCTTGAGGTACACCACTGCCAGTTGAAAAATTCGCCATTAACGGAGCTCACGCAAAAAAACACGCTTATTTAACACTGTGTTTAACTGTTAATTGACATCAAAATTTGGATTTGAGAGTGTGAATCTGAATCTTGCAGAAGAAGTTTTTCAAATTTGAGGGGAAAATGAAGCCCTAATGGGATAAATTCAAATGGCGGGGAAAAAGAGTAAGTAGAAAATTTTGGGATTTTTCCAGCTCTCGTGTATAAAGGAAGACGGGAGAGAAAAGATAAGTTACTGAAATACCCTTTCAGTGTACAGAAACGCTGGGGTGTTGTGTACGATACTACGAATTATTCTTTTCACGAAACTTTTAGGCGAAATACATAAACGGCCCCTTTAAGTTGTCCTCAACGACCAACTGAACACCCCAATTGATCCATTTATCATTTAGACACTTCAAGTGACTATTAAGTATATCAAGTAAACACCTCACGCTGACATGGCAAGTTACGTGTATTTTAGTTTCATTTGGGCGCGTGAGACTTTTATCAGAACTTTTCTCTCTCGTTTTCAAAATTAAATTAAATTTTGTATGTGGGTCCCACACTATATCATTATATTTTCCTTCTAACCATTGAGATGCTCAGACTGGTATCCTTGGATTGTAAAATTGAAGCTTGTGTTTGATACCCATGTGAAATTGATGACTCAATTGTGTTCTCCTCAGTAGGGCGAGCATTTTGGTACCGAGCTTTTTCTATTTGGGCAGCTGGAACACTGGCAGCGGCCATCTCTGCTACGCCGGAGTTTTTCAACTCGTCGGAGACGATTTCCACGGTAGAAATGTCTGAAAATTGGTGTGGAGTTGGGCTTTGTGATGATAAGTCATCTCTGTGGTTTGGAATGTTGAAATTTGGCCCAGAAAAGCCTTGGGAAATCTCTGAAGTCCTAGGGCGATTTTTTGCTACAGTGAGCGCTCCACCCAAATTGAGATTCGTAGCAGCTGGGGATTGTCTGAGGGAAGCGCCCAGTGGGGGTTTGTACGCCTTGGAATTGCGCATCTTTTGGGACTGGTCTGGTGGTTTTCCTCCACCGAACGGCGGAGCAGTAGGCATTTTTGTCCGGCGTTGGTACTATTCACCAGAATCGCCTGTAATTTTGTTTTAGAAATTGTTGTTCTGATGAGGGTTTTATTTCATCTTTAATGTACTTTCTTTTTTTTAATTATGTGGCAATTTTTTTATTCCAATTTACACGTGTCATTTTTTAATTGGCTCATTTGACACATCATTGGCAAGTGTAGCTCGCGCATAGAGTTTTCAGCACTCGGGTATTTACTTGATACACTTAATAGTCACTTGAAAGGTCTAAATGGTAAATGGATCGGTTGGGGTGTTCAACTGGTCGTTGAGGACAACTTGAAGGGGCCGTTTATGTATTTCGCCAAACTTTTATTGTAGTAGTAGTACTAATTTAATAGAATGTTCGCTAAAAAAATGGTAGATTTATATTTGATAGTCAAAAAAGTGTATAAAACTTATATAATTTTTGTATATAACACAAAAAATGTATATATATACAAAAAATATATAAATTTTATATATTTTTTTACTATTATTTTTACAGCAGCTACACACTGTCATTTTTTCTTAAATCGAGAAAAAAAAATATACAGCATCAAAGTGTAAAGTGCAGTTTTTAAAGGGGGAGGGGGGGAGGGGGGAATTCTATTCCACTAGAGGATTAGGGAAGTTGGAGAAGGAATGAAAATTATGAAACATAGTATAACTTAAATTCTTACTTATTGTATGAAAAACTTATATCAGTATAACGGAATTATAAGTTTTGGTGGTATGTAGAATGAGTTTAAACATAGTATCCATTTCCCCTTTCACCCTTTGACTCCCTTGCGGTAATTAAAAAGGTTCAAGTAACTCTTGAGAAATTACTTTTTAAAAATATTATTGGATTTAGACTTGCATGCTTAAATAATGAAATTAAGATGGTAAGAATTATATAGGGTTTGCTTGAAAAGTCATGTGTAATTATTAGGGTAATAATTACTTAGTATAGTAATTATAATGACATGTTTGTTCGTCGGAATGGGAAAATTTTATTTTGTGTCTCATACAACTGACACTAGTTGTGTGAGGCTCCTTTCTTGTCTCACAGTTTTGTGGACCCAGATTTTTGTGGACCCAGAAGTGTAAGATTGGGGTCCACAAATTTGTGAGACAAAAAGGAGCCTCCAACAACTAATGTAAGTTGTGTGAGACACACAATAAAACTGTATTTGTCATGTTTGATTGGACATTACATATTTAAATAAATTGTATTTGTTCCAATTAATATGTAAATAAATTTTATTGTTTGACAAATATATATATATATATATATATATATATATATATATATATATGTATATTTG